ACAAATGACTCAAGCACAAATGATATCAATTAAAACCAGTGATTCAACAACAACAGTGGTATTTCTAGCCTAATCAATACTGTATTTGAATCATGTGATACCAGTACCTTCCCCCAGGGTCTCAGTCTGAACACAAGTAAACCACCACACACTGGTCACAGACACACTTGTTGAGCGTAACTTCTCCGATCAGAGTCCTGCCCACAGACATCATATCACCAGGTTATATCACCAACCATTGTCCTCAGATATCACAGCTGATAGCCTATATTTTTATATCCAATAAAATACTTGGTATCTCACCTTCCTGATCAGTCACATGACTGGACTCGTGTCAACGGAAAACATGTTGTATATAGATGATATTCTCCTCGACCTCTCCCCCCTCCTACTCTCCACCCCCCACCCATCTTCTCTTTACTTCAACAATGATGTTTCAAGTTTCTGACTATCATTTTTCTTGGAGCTGTAATATAATCATATTCATGTTTTTATATATATATATGCATGTGTGGGGTACGCAATGCATGTCAGATTATATTATCTATATTTGTACATGCGCGCATGCGCACGTACAAGCACACACCAAAATATTTTCTGCCCTGTTTTTGTGAAAGCACTTACATCTCAGTTAAAACTAGGTTTCCTGTCATCCTCTCCCCCCCCCCCNCACCACCAGCTACATATAATATATAAAAGAGTATACACCCAAGAAAAGACCAAATGTAGAATTGTTAGATGGTTTATTCATAAACATATTTCATAAACAGTATTATAAGCCTCACTTGGTGTAGGTGGTCGACTTAACCACATCACTTTAAAATAACAACATTAATTATTAAAAAGAGCTACATATAAAGTTTTCAATTTTGATAAAAATTAGAAAATGGCAGACGTACACGCCTGTGAGAATCGTACCTATGCGTAACTCAAGCAGCAAAAGGGAAACCCCACTGTGTAGACACCTACACCCTCAACCGGGACACAGGAAGTGGTCCCTCCCAGCATTGTGCTTGCTCTTCCCTTCCTGTTCATGTAATGTCTTAAAGCTTTTTACATTGACAAGTGAGATGCCATATATATACATTTTAATTTGAGAGACTAAGTATGCTGCCTACATACATGTTACATGTACATAGAATGTCTATTTTTACCATGCCACTCATAAACAGTAAAAAACATCATACATGTTGCATCATAAGCAAAACCATTCAGTAGCAGGTAGTTTTCATTGTCCACAATTATTGTTTTTCTTTTGTGATGTTTACCAGCATAAAATTCAGGAAAGTGACAGTGACACCACTGGCAAAGGAAAGAAAGCAGATGATGGAGATCTAAAAACCAAAATAACATCACTCTGTCAGATTGTCTAAAGAGAGCAGGATGCCAATGAGTTCTTTTATCTTAGAGAGAGCTTTTTCTGTGCTTCAACCTTCTCTGTGTGATGACTGAAATTAGCCATGAAGTTCAGTGCTCCAGTTTTGAGAACAATGCCATAATGACACCCGACTACACTTATTCCTGAAGATAATTCTCCTCATTCAAGTCTTTTCAATGACCTTCACCTTCAATGTTGTGGCCCATGTCCGAAATTGCTTGGCGTAGAAACTCTTTTTGCTGACATAGGTTATAAGTCTCCCAAATTCTAGGGTACAACTGTAATGAAAAAGCGATTATGAGGTGTATCTAAAAGTAACAGAAAAAGGTACCACAAAACATTCTTATACTGAAAAACAGAGGTCAGGTGTCCATTCCATTTCTTTGTTTTTCAATTATTCCTAAAAAATTCCTCTTAGTTTTTGCTCAGAGTGACTAACTGGCATTGATTATTCTAGGAATTGATACGAAGACGAAGCTTAAAATTTAGATTAATTGCACTTGTTATCCACCTCAAAGAGGTGTACTACTCAATGGGATTCAAGTAAAATACAAATTATTCCACTGTTTGAAGCACCAGCCATGGGAGCAGTCATTAACAAGAACTTACAATCCATATTGTACCATAAGTGCCAGGGCCGTAGCCTGAGCAAAATGCCAGGGGGGGCAGTAAGCGGACACGAGGGGGCGAAGCTACCGAGGGGGGTGGGTATGGTGTGTAAAATTCCAAATTCCAGGGGGGGCAGCTGCCCCCCCTGCCCCCCCGGAGGCTACGACCCTGAGTGCGTATAAAAAAAGTTGTGCTTGACAAGCTCTACAAAATACAATAAACAAGAGCTCTAACTTTTTTGTAGAAAATTACAATTTACAACACAATCATGGGGAAAAGAAAAAGGTCAAGTACACGGTTGCAGCAATAGTAAATATACGAGAGCTTGAAATTTTGCAAAGTGCAGTTTATGATGAAAAATAGGTCAATGGTCAAATTCAAGGTCACAGTAAGATTACCAATATAAGACTTCCTATTCACATCAGTTCTAACTTTGGGTATATCCCTTAATTTGCAAAGTGCAGTTCATGGTGAAAAGTAGATTAAAGGTCAAATCCAGGCCTTCCCAACTACCAGACTCGGCACCTACGGGTCCAGAATAAACCGGTATATCTGACCACACTACCCGTTTTCAAGGTGTGTGTCAGATCGCATAAAAGAGTATCATACCCTATCACAAATTCTGTAAGCCTACCTGTCATCCGGGTATTGCGCCTCGTTTTCGTCAAGTAGGAGTCGTATGAATACAACAGACGACTCCCTCAATCAGGGGGTGGAAACGCGCGACTTATATGATTAAGACGAGCCTAGCCGTCAGTACCCGTTATTGTTTTGTGACCTTGAGGAGCAATTAGGTTTGGTCGTTGCGGCACGCATGAACAGTAGTTGAACTACCACACCTGGGTCTTTTGTTTTTGACAACTGTTCAATCGTCATCGAGGCTCTTGTTCAAGACTACAGGCTGATATCTACTAGTACTACCAGTGGCTTCATTAGTAACGTTCCCACAATACTAAAGTTTTCTGTCCGTGCGTACAAACCCTGAAAAAGGACAGCCTCGCTGACGAGAACAATGGACGTTTCTCACCCCTCTCTAGGATTACCCCTGCCCTCAATCTCGTCCATCTCGGTAGTCATGAAAATATTTAACCCCCGACAGAATATGCTTCCGCTATCAAAATTAGGTCTACTTTTCTAAATTAATATATAAGTTTGCAAGTTCTTATCTACAAAACATCATTGGCTATGTCCGAACCTAAATTTTATGTTAAAAATTGCGGTACTGTCAGATTTTAGCATAAACAGAGAAAATTGCAGCAGCGCATGAATCTAGATGAGATGCACTACTTTCCAACCCCGCTTAGGATCATTGCTATCACATCGCGCACCAGGCAAAATCGGTGTGGTGGCTGATACTCTGTAATGCGATCTGACACACACCTTGAAAACGGGTAGTGTGGTCTGATAAACCGGTTTATACTGGACCCGTAGGTGCCGAGTCTGGTAGTTGGGAAGGCCTGAAATCCAAGGGCAGATTTGAAATCCCCACATGAAATTCAGTCAAACATCTATAATAATTTTCCCCATGATTCCTTTGGTTTAGGAGATATTTAGCATTTAATTATATAAATTTTGGACAAGGGTGTATTGCGCCAAGTGCCACACCTAGACCAGTGCACTGCAAAAGTCATGGATCAAGTTATGTGACCTAAATCCAAGAGATTGGTAAACAGGCTCTTGTAGTCTAGGAGGAAAATTGGTAATGGTGACACTGCGGCAGATGTGGAGGATGAGACAGGTTGGGACTAAAACCATGTGTACTATACTGGTTGTATAATAACTTAACTGACATTCACTCAGCTTACCATTACTACTTTGTACCCCAATATCTCCAGTTGCCTCAATTTTTGACTGTCTCTGGAATGTGAGACATACCTCTCATAATAGACCTTTACTGGCATACTGATAGCAATCCTATTGATAAAATAAAATAAAATAAATAAATAAACAAGGCAGCAAAGCTGTCAAATGTACAGACAAAAAGCAGAAAATAACAATGCAAAAAATAGGCTACTGTCAATTCTGATGCAAAAATACATTATGCTTAACTGCAAATTCAACATCAAATTTTAATTATGCTCAACAGGTAATACCAATGTAAGTAAAATGTGTAACAAGCATAAGGCTTCAGGCCCATGGGAGTTCAAGTTCACACTTTGAAAATGCCAGAATGAGAAAAATGAAAATTTTACAAAAAATTGCATAAATTCAATAATAAATGATAACCCAATTGAGCTGGCTTTCTAATCTGAGCTGCATGCCAATCCTAAAAATAATACTTGTAAGTTAAAAATAATAATAAGTAACACAGTTTTCTTTTCATAATGTTTGTAGTAGCAATGCAAAAAGATTTTTGTCAATTTTGATGTAAAAATACATAATAAATTGCAGAATAATTATCACCAATTTTTAATTATTGACTATAAATAGCATGGATACAGAAAATTTGATAACCATTCGGTTTCATGTCCATGGGAGCTCTGAGTCCCACAGTGAATATGCCAACACGATAAAAATGAATATTTCACTAAAATGAATAACTTCCAGAAAAAAAAAGAAGCCAATTAGACTGCTTTTCCAACTCAGGCTGCATTCTAGTCCTGTGTTTCTTTTTTGAAAGTTTGACAATCATAAGTAACATGGTTTTCTCATAATGGTCATCATGGCAGCAGCACCCAAAATTGTGGTTTCTTCTATTTTGATGCAATATTACATAAAGTTTAACAGCATAATGACCGTCATTTTTTTATAATAAAATATTCGTATCACGGATTTTCAGAAAATGTAACTAGCATGGGTCTTCAAGCCCGTGGAGGCTCTAAATCACACCTTGAAAATGCCAATATGTGAAAAATAAAATTTTTTTATCATAATTTTTTAACTCAACCTGCGTTTTAGCAGGAATGACCACTCCTGTGAGTTTAATGACAATTGGCCTATCTGTTTTTTATGTACAGACACAGATGTGTCTGTACATATTGCCATCACCTGCGTCTGTCGTCGCCGNTTCGTTGAGAATGCGCTCTAAAGAAAGCAGGATGCCAATGAGTTCTTTTATCTTAGAGAGAGCTTTTTCTGTGCTTCAACCTTCTCTGTGTGATGACTGAAATTAGCCCTGAAGTTCAGTGCTCCAGTTTTGAGAACAATTCCATAATGGTACCCGAGTACACTTATTTCTGAAGATAATTCCCCTCATTCAAGTCTTTTCAATGACCTTCACCTTCACTGCTGTGGCCCATGTCCGAAATTGCTTGGTGTAGAAACTTTTTTTGCTGACATAGGTTATAAGTCTCCCAAATTCTAGGGTACAACTGTAATGAAAAAGCAATTATGAGGTGTATCTAAAAGTAACAGAAAAAGGTACCACAAAACATTCTTATACTGAAAAACAGAGGTCAGGTGTCCATTCCATTTCTTTGTTTTTCAATTATTCCTAAAAAATTCCTCTTATTTTTTGCTCAGAGTGACTAACTGGCATTGATTATTCTAGGAATTGATACGAAGACGAAGCTTAAAATTTAGATTAATTGCACTTGTTATCCACCTCAAAGAGGTGTACTACTCAATGGGATTCAAGTAAAATACAAATTATTCCACTGTTTGAAGCACCAGCCATGGGAGCAGTCATTAACAAGTACTTACAATCCATATTGTACCATAAGCTTGGTTAAGTGCATACGTATAAAAAAAAGTTGTGCTTGACAAGCTCTACAAAATACAATAAACAAGAGCTCTAACTTTTTTGTAGAAAATTACAATTTACAACACAATTGTGGGGAAAAGAAAAAGGTCAAGTACACGGTTGCAGCAATAGTAAATATACGAGAGCTTGAAATTTTGCAAAGTGCAGTTTATGATGAAAAATAGGTCAATGGTCAAATTCAAGGTCACAGTAAGATTACCAATATAAGACTTCCTATTCACATCAGTTCTAACTTTGGGTATATCCCTTAATTTGCAAAGTGCAGTTCATGGTGAAAAGTAGATTAAAAGTCAAATCCAAGGGCAGATTTGAAATCCCCACATGAAATTCAGTCAAACATCTATAATAATTTTCCCCATGATTCCTTTGGTTTAGGAGATATTTAGCATTTAATTATATAAATTTTGGACAAGGGTGTATTGCGCCAAGTGCCACACCTAGACCAGTGCACTGCAAAAGTCATGGATCAAGTTATGTGACCTAAATCCAAGAGATTGGTAAACAGGCTCTTGTAGTCTAGGAGGAAAATTGGTAATGGTGACACTGCGGCAGATGTGGAGGATGAGACATGTTGGGACTAAAACCATGTGTACTATACTGGTTGTATAATAACTTAACTGACATTCACTCAGCTTACCATTACTACTTTGTACCCCAATATCTCCAGTTGCCTCATTTTTTGACTGTCTCTGGAATGTGAGACATACCTCTCATAATAGACCTTTACTGGCATACTGATAGCAATCCTATTGATAAAATAAAATAAAATAAATAAATAAACAAGGCAGCAAAGCTGTCAAATGTACAGACAAAAAGCAGAAAATAACAATGCAAAAAATAGGCTACTGTCAATTCTGATGCAAAAATACATTATGCTTAACTGCAAATTCAACATCAAATTTTAATTATGCTAAACAGGTAATACCAATGTAAGTAAAATGTGTAACAAGCATAAGGCTTCAGGCCCATGGGAGTTCAAGTTCACACTTTGAAAATGCCAGAATGAGAAAAATGAAAATTTTACAAAAAATTGCATAAATTCAATAATAAATGATAACCCAATTGAGCTGGCTTTCTAATCTGAGCTGCATGCCAATCCTAAAAATAATACTTGTAAGTTAAAAATAATAATAAGTAACACGGTTTTCTTTTCATAATGTTTGTAGTAGCAATGCAAAAAGATTTTTGTCAATTTTGATGTAAAAATACATAATAAATTGCAGAATAATTATCACCAATTTTTAATTATTGACTATAAATAGCATGGATACAGAAAATTTGATAACTATTCGGCTTCATGTCCATGGGAGCTCTGAGTCCCACAGTGAATATGCCAACACGATAAAAATGAATATTTCACTAAAATGAATAACTTCCAGAAAAAAAAAAAGAAGCCAATTAGACTGCTTTTCCAACTCAGGCTGCATTCTAGTACTGTGTTTCTTTTTTGAAAGTTTGACAATCATAAGTAACATGGTTTTCTCATAATGGTCATCATGGCAGCAGCACCCAAAATTGTGGTTTCTTCTATTTTGATGCAATATTACATAAAGCTTAACAGCATAATGACCGTCATTTTTTTATAATAAAATATTCGTATCACGGATTTTCAGAAAATGTAACTAACATGGGTCTTCAAGCCCGTGGAGGTTCTAAATCACACCTTGAAAATGCCAATATGTGAAAAATAAAATTTTTTTATCATAATTTTTTAACTCAACCTGCGTTTTAGCAGGAATGACCACTCCTGTGAGTTTAATGACAATTGGCCTATCTGTTTTTCTAATATTGTGTTTACAGTGTTGCATATATGCTGAAAAACGAAAAAAAAAGCATAACTACTAAAATAGTGGCCCGATCCTGCCGATTTTCGAACTTGACCTGCGTTATAGTAAGATCGATTACTCCTGTGAGTTTCATGACAAAAAGCCTAGCGGTTTTCCTTAAAATGTGTTTACAGTGTTGCATGTATGCTGAAAAGTGAAAAAACAGCATAACTTCTACAATAATGGCCCGATCATGCTGGTTTTCGAACTTGACCTGCATTTTATGAATATTCATCAGCTCTGTAAATATAAAGCCAAAAAGTAAAACTGCCTTCCACTTATCGTGTTTACAAGGAAAGTGCACGGCGCCGGCATCGGCATGGGTGATGGCGACGACAGACGCAGGTGATGGCAATATGTACAGACACATCTGTGTCTGTACATAATAAAATGAAAGTGAAAAGTGTGAGTTTTGCTTCATTGTGTTGATTCAAACATATTGAAAAGTGAGTGGAGAACAGAGAGAGAACAGTCTTTTGTCTAAGAAAGATATCTTCAAAGAGTAAAATATTAGAAATAGTAAAGCATTTGGAAATTAGAAGTAAAATCATTACTGTACTTTCTGTGTGTATGGCTTGAGTTAAATTCCTCCACTGGGATTGGTCTGTTCTGGCTGTCGAACTGTATTTCAAAATCTGCAATGAAATGAAACTTTTAAATGCTGACAAATTCATATTTTTTTATGATTCTACATAAACAAGACAGTTAAATAATATATTTTAAATTAATCAGATCATGCAGATTCTCACAGGAAGCCATTTTTAAAGGTGCATATGAATCCAGCATCAGTGGAGTGTGAATTCCCAGTACCACATATAAACCACTTCTACTAGTTTCTTATACAACTGAATTTAAGTCGACATGCCAAGGGATAAACTGAATAAATCACTCGATCAGCCATAAAAGAGCTTTAGACTGCTCCTTTCTTTAAATTTTTGGTCAGAAATTTAACCCACTTATGTGACCTACTTTCCTGGCCCATGTATATACAGCATAGAAAGCTAGCAGAAAATCCATTTAAACATCATTTTTCAGGTAATATTAACAAATGTCTTTTGGTAATTCTCTTAGTTACGGTAAAGTCTTGAAAATTTCGTCGCTTAAAAATTAATTATAGTTTTATATTATAGTAATATAAAACTGAAGGTGGTGAGTAATCCATACATAAGTTTAGCATTTATCAAGCAATGTTTCATAAATATGTCTGTACATGTAAAGCTAGATATATCCATAGCAGCAGTGATCTTTTAATTAGGTATGATGATGTTTAATGGTAATTGCAGTTGTTTCTGTGTATTTATTTGACACATATTAATTCAACATATTAGTAGGTACAAATGGAACATGAAATGAATTGCCAAAACTGGTCATTTAACTTCCTATCGTCGTATTCTTATTTCCTGAATATTTTTTAGCCTAATTGAATTTAATGCTTCTTATGGTTTGGTTATGCTTTGTTTTCATTTTGACAATTAAGCTGTCCTCATTTTCATTCTAGTGGGCACAACTCCAATCCTCCAGCCTCTAAACCTCTCAGAGAGGGAGAGATGTTTATTAAGTTGATGGCAGCTTTGAGATTAGAAAGGGACGAAGCCTTAGAGAGAGCGGAAAAAAATGTTCTTTCTAGCCCTTTGTCATCTTCCTCAGTTGAAGATAACGATGAAATGTGTATAATGATGACTGGTATTACTTGGTCTCATTTTTCACAACTGTTCCTCTTCTTACTCACCATCTTTCCAAATCGTAATACCAAGTCTTCGCTGCCCTTACAAGAAGAACTTTTTTGACACTGGTGAGATTAAGGCACAACACTTCTTTTGATTGGTTTGCCCAAATCAACAATAATTGACCATTTTTGGAAAGTAATTATGTGCTACATGCAAATTTGGATATGATGGTACAGCCTCAAGACAGAGAGGGTATTTGTACAACTATTCCACCAGTGTTAATACCTCCGTCACACTTACTCGGAATCAGCAGGAATGAAGAATAATGAGCCTGAACGCAGAATTTTTAAAATTCGCACCACATTCGGGGAAAATTTTCAAATTGACCTTAATTATTGTAAGAGTACCGTTGGAATACTCAGAATGCGCTTGAATTCGCCTGGAATGACGAGTGCACTTTCGACTGTATTAGCTCTCAACAGTTCGAATGTAGTTGGAAAACTAGGAATATTTATAATGCTGTAAGAAGGCAGTAACAATATTAAGAATATACTAGTACTTTGAACGGCCCACTAGTGTAGTTCGATTGCTGGCAACATAAATATTTCAGCTCATCTGAGGCACATTCGAAACATTCTGGCGGGATATAAAATCCCCGTCACACTAGAGGCAGAATGATTAACAATGGTGTCTGAAATACAATTATTTGTGCATTCCAGGATATTCGAAGGGCATTCTAAAAACATTCTAAAAATTCTGAGTACATTCCAAATATATTTACCCATTCTTGTGGCCGGCTCGAATGTTTTTGTCATGTTAAAAACTTTCGAAGTGCATCCCAAGAGGAAATTTATCACAATATCCCTACAGTATTCCAACTACATTCGAGCTGCATTTGAGAGGTAATATACCTGGAATGTGCAAGAATCATTCTAGGCGGGTTCGATGTGCATTCTTAGTATTCCAGAGGCATTCTTACAAAGCTGTAATATTTTATGAATAATTTAAAATTCCCTCCCGAATATGGTTCGAATTTTTAAATTTAGTAATTCCGGCTTGATTCCTACTGATTTCGAATAGGTTTGATGGGGGTAGTCACTAATCGGTTCGAATATTCCTTTAATGTGATCAGAATGTTTCGAATGCTGTCGGAATGCCGTGAGAATATTTAGAATGCAGTCATAGTACAGTTAGAATACTGTTCAAATGCCATTCGATAAATTTCCACTTGGAATGCATTTCGAAAGTTTTTGACATGACAAAAACATTAGGGATGCCACAAGAATGGGTAAAAATATTTAGAATGCACTCGGAATTTTTAGAATGCTCTTCGAATATCCAGGAGCGCACAAAGAATTGTCTTTCCGACGGCATTCTTGCTCATTCCGCCTCTAGTGTGAAGGGGCCTTTAAAGAAAATTTTCTGAGATTTACATGCATAATAGACTGTTTCGAAATTTTCATAGAAGCTCCCAAAAATCTGCTAGCAAGGGCCCAAGTGCTATAGTCAGTATAAGAAACATTGTACCATAAAGTTCTTGATATCATGCTCACCATTAGGAGCTATCAATTTCATAATCAGTGCATGGGGAGGAAATGCATCAGACAATAAAATTGTCAGGGAATCTGGTTTTATTTCTAATAACATTCACATGTCAGGAGACCAAATCTTGGCTGACAGGGGATTTACCCTGAAAAATGATTTTAGTGCGCATTGCGGAGCTGAATTATTAACCCCTGCATACAAAAAACCTGGTTGTAAGCAAACGCCAGCTGGTAAACTGCAGACCTCTAGGAAAATTGCATCTGTGAGAATTCACATTGAGAGAGTTATTGGATTGTTAAAGAATCGGTACACTATCCTGAAAGGCACTATGCCCTTGACGAATGTCCAAAGTATTAAAGGTGAAGGTCTCAAGAGTACATTGGCCAGTTGTGACCACGCTCGGCTGTCACCTTGATTGGATAGTAAACGTTTGTCGTAAAATCGCTAAATGATATTAAAACCCGGTGCATAAACTTGAAAACCACCTAGGACAACCTAAGACTGCCACATTAATCCAATACAATGCAAAAATAAACTATAACAAGTGGTTAAAGCCTTCAAAACGAATGTCGTAAAGTCCCCATATACCTCCATAGAGACAATAAAATAGAGTAAGCTTGTGAAACAAACCTGACCCAGTTCCAACAGAATAATCGAAATAAAATACTGCCGGGCATCGGAGCGGCCTAAAACTTGGCACGCTTACCGCTAATACTGCAGGCTACATCATCCCGTCGCTCGTTTGTAAATTCCGTGCATGGCATACGCACAATCAAACCGTGAATCCAAATATCACCAAATATCACCCCTGATGTTTATCTTGGTCCTCTCAACAATCCAATTCAGGAAATGACGTAACCGCAGAGGTCGCATTGTCCAATGGCATGGCTTCTTTTTCGTAATGGTAGGTTAGAGAGGACTGAGATAAACATCAGAGGTGGAATTTTGATTTACAGCGTATCGTCGTAAAGACATTTCAGTCTGTTTTATCAAATTAAGGAAATAAAACAATTATCTACAAGATAAACAAACATTATCAACTTGTCTTTAACTCGGTACAATCCATATAGGTTTTCGACAACATTTACCGACCGTGAGTCGACTATGATTCCATACGACAACTGTAGAACATTCATAGACTTGCCCTTCAAGAAATCGACGGAAAACAGCTCTTTTTGAATGGGCACTGTAGACAAGGCAGCAAAGCTGTCAAATGTACAGACAAAAAGCAAGAAATAACAAAATAGGCTACTGTCAATTCTGATGCAAAAGTACATTATGTTAAACTGCAAATNTACGGTGTGTAGTGCGTGTTTCACAGGATCATACCCCGAGCCAAATTTTGTACAGATGTACGACGACTGCAAGCTCTACCTGACTTCCGGGTATCGCGCCTCGTGAACATACATTGTAGACTGTTCGAGTGCTTCTTTTATGGTTTAGATATTTGTAACCTGAGTGTCCACCTTATTCTGGACAATTTTCAAGCACCAAACTTCCCCCACATCTCCAACTTGGTGCTTACATATACTGGTATTAGTCTATAAGGTCTTATATCTTAAGGAGTGTTAGCTACTCTAAATGTCCTAGAAGACGCGTGTGAGTACTGCTAAACAACCAAGCCAGTTCCTTCAAAAACAAAAACAAAGGTCAAATAAGCATTATTACCGGAAAAATATTGCTTTGATTTCATGAATTTATGGTAGCGTAAACCGAAATTTTCTCACAACTTAATCAAAGTGCCGCGTAGGCCTACTATTAATGCGAAATCTGCGGTCTGTAGACCAATTGCTACTCAACCCAGTATGCGATTAAAAACCTACGGTGATATATCTTTCAAAGCTGCAGGTCCAAAGGAATGGAATCTATTACCGCTGGAAATCCGAGCAATTCAGTCTACCAAACATTTTAAAAAAGAACTCAAAACATACCTTTTTAGGAAATATTTTGATTAACTCTTTTAAGATTGGTTTTATAAATTTTGTATTAATTGCATTTAATTGTATGGAATAATGGTTGTTTTTGCCTAGATTTTATTTATGATATTTTATGTAAAGTCTACTGAACATTTTAAATGGATTTTAGACTTAAAATAAATTTATCATTATTTATTATTATTGTTATTTTACACTCGAAAGTAATCCGGACAGCTTCACAATGTATTTGGAGATACGACAAATAAGCTTATCATCATCATTTAAAATAAAAAAGAAAGCCACTTGGTATTCATACAAACTGTGAATCGTGAAAAGAGTAAGAATTGCAAAAGGTTCCCGCCAAAACGTTATCCTCATAACATCAGCAAAAGACAATTAAGAAAACAACCAAGATAGCTCTGAGATTTTATTTCAGATGCCAGACCAATTTGCACTTTGAGAGTTACAGTAAGAATCTAATCATTTCTACATCAATATTTTTCAAAGATTTAAAACAACAATACTTGAAAGGAAAATTGAATCTATACCAGTATGTCTCAGTATTTGTGTACGTGTGCGTGAGTGTGATTGTGTGTTTGCATGCATGTGTGCTTGTGTGTGACAATCTTCCTCGCGCTATCTACACTATGGTTGTTCTCAGAACTCGGACTGACTCAAACAAATTCCGAAATACTTGGTTGTTTTTGAAACCCAAAGTATGAAACTGTTA